AAAACATGGATTTGACACACGTATAATTTTATACTTGTATTATTTTAGGCGTTTCAAAAACTGTAACAAAATATTAAAAAAAAATTAATTCCACAGTATATACAAAATTAAAACGTCAGTTGCCTCGGTAGCGTAAATACTTTATTTTTGAGAAAGAATCACAAAACTCAGTTACGTATTTTTTTAGTTAAGCTGGTGTAAATATTAAAGTTATAATCCTTTTTAATTAGTAAGTGTAGATTTATGACAAATTTGTACAAAAAAATATGCATAAAACCCAACAATAAATTGACATAAACACTGCCCAAGAGTCATTCTTTAAACTCTTGAAAGCCGCATCAAAATCTGTTGAATAGTTTTTGAGTTTATTGCGAACAAACAGACAGATAGACATGAAGGATGCCTTTGTTTTCAAGTATCGGGCAAAGAATTTGTCTGAAATTGTTTATTACAAACGTTCGCTAGACTGGAACTGTGACTGGATTTTACTTCCTTCAAAAGGACAACAGGTGACAGCGCTGCTCAAAATTTACTTCCATTAAACCTTTATTCAATTTTATCAGTTTAACGTGCAGATTACAATATTTCTTTTACACTAATACATTTTTAGATTTAAATTTCATGATAGGTATATAGTTCCGCGCTATGTATTGATCCAGGGTGTTTCAATAAGCGGTGTTTTGTATTTGAATATAAAGAGGAAAATATGCCATTAGTAATTGAAAACGAAATCAGCCAAATGGCCACCACGGTTACCTTCATAGAACCGTAATCTTTTTATGGAATTTTCCATCACCGGATCGCAAAGTGACTGCTGTATGCCTTTAATAGCTTCATAAATTCCACATTTGAAGCCTTGAATCAACGATTGCCTGTGAGCGTAGACCTCATCCTTAAGCATTCCCATTCGCAGCAATGTTGGTAATTTCAGTCCTGTTCCATTGAGATTTTCCTCAATAATACCTTTTACAACTGAAAAACTCATATAAATATACAACATAAACATGAACTTAATCGAACGATAAACTTAGCTACTGGCTGTTTGGTTTTCCAACGAATTCTCGAAAAAAGACAACAGTAGAAGCTGCACTTATTTGCATATATACGTATGTATGCATGAAATTGTGAAACAAGGGTATATAACCATACAGTCTTGCAAAATGTTGACTTGACTGCAAATGAAATGCAAACAGATAGTCTTCATGAAAAAGTTATATTTAAAAATTTATTTTTTTCCAACATTTTTCACGAGGATACTTTTAGTTTTTTTATTTTCAACATGGCACCTTTAAAGTGAAGCTATCGGTTTTCAATGGGAATAAAAAAAGCTTCGATAAAAATATTGTTCAGAAAGCCGGCTTACCGCTTTCAAACGCTCTGACTCGTTACAGTCGGATTGACTTGAAGCTTTCAGAGCATTTACTTGAATACATTTTTATACGTAAATGAAAATCAACGGACAAAGATTTTTGAAATTTTTAATAATATGTAACCGCTTGAAAGTTCTTTAAATTTTTACCTTATTTTTTGTTATTTGATTTCTTTATGTTTTTGAATTAAACTTCAATTATTATTTATTCACACGAAATAATGAAAATATTTCTCTCATTTTTAGGGGGCACACCAAGTGTGAAATTCGATCTTTTTCATATTTCGGTCGATTACACCTTTAAAAATAACAAACTAAAATTTCAACTCGATATCTCAAATAGTTTTTGAATTAAAGCAATTTAAAGAGCAGCCGCTAGGCAGCTTGAGAGTCTCATTAGCTACGAGTGAAAACGATCATTTTACCTTTAAACAAGTTTTTCTCGAAACAGCATTTTCCGAATTTGATCTGATAAAACATCGAATTTTTGCAGGCAAAAAAAAACAAAATTTTTGGTAAAATTCGACCATATTTTTTAAAACGCTGGCATATAGTCAATTTTTTTTATCGTAGGTCATTGTAAAGACAATATTATCTAGTAGAGAATTTTTGTTTTTTGATTTCATCCACACAGAAGGCCGGAATCACTGCCATGAAGGACCTTTTTTTCGTGGCGTTGGAGTTTGACTATAACTTAAAATATATTTAATTTTTTTTATTCAAAAATTTCCCTGTATATTCTTGAAACATGTATAAATATATTTTTAAAAATTATAAATAAATGATAAAGTATTTTTTTTTTATAATAATTCTCAAAAATCACCTTTTTTTAGGCCATTACACTAGGTGTGCCCCTTGACACTCTCTACACCAGAGTTGCTTATAAGCAACTTCTGTGCCTAATATCATTTAAAATAAGGTGAAAATAATAAATGTTAGAAAACAGGAATCACACACTTTCCTGTAGTTCTGAAAATACAAGCACAACAAACACTTATGCATTCAGTTTATTGTGACGCAAAAAAAATCCTTTTCTCGTTTTTTTTAGCAAAAAAGGAAAAACTTGCTAATATTTGTGGATTTTTATTTTAAAGATTTTAAAACATAACTGCTTTTACTCAGTTTTCCCCCTTCTCACAAATTTGTTGCAAACAAATAACATTTCTAGCATAATATTCTGTATATTTTATTTCGAGGCAATGAAAAACGTAAGCGTAGGAATGCATATTTAATAAAAATAATAAATACATTGAATAAATATTTATTTAATTCGTTATACAAATTTACACCGTATATCGAAAATGTATTATATTTACTTTTGGCTTATTTATTAATTAGATTGTACTTAAGAAGTCAACTTACGGGTATTTCTAAATTAAGACCTACATACATACAAGCATACCCACTTGTGTACGTATATACTGTGACTTAAGTGATAACGAAGCTTAAGTAAATATAATTCACACATTTATTACTCTATATTCAAATTGAATAAACACAACCAAGTAGCATTTCTATTTATCCCCAAGTCATGTTTTGTCAATATGAAAAGTATATTTCTGCTTAATAGTAGAAGACAAGTGGTGCCCACATCCATAACTGTGTATGCATATATACAAATCTTTACATACATGCATACTATATTAGCTGGTAAAATCAGAAATGCCGCTACGGAAATGAACTGTTATCAAAGAAGTCTCACTCACTTATGTATGCATTGCACATATACTTGTATGCGTATGCATACGTAATAGTTTATGCGCATTCGGTATGAGGTGTGCAAAGGTCATGGTGATGAGAGTTCAGTAATCTCGTTAACAGCAGTCATGACAGCTTGGCATGAGAGCATGAGTGACTGCGTCAAGCACCCAGGCAGGTGTGAAGAGGAAATTAAATGTTGCTGTTATGAGCTTCGCATTGCCCCACAATTTATTTTACCTGTAAAATTTTAATAAACACGCAGTTTTTGTAATCATAAAATGTTTTTAGAGTTACATAATTCTCAGAGACCCACACCTTTCAAATATTTTTTTTGTTTTATTTAATCTACTTTTTATTTCAATTAATTTTATTTCTTTATTTTCTTTTATTTTTCTATATTCTTTTCAAAATATTTTTATTTTTTTAACGTTATTTTATTTTATATTATTTTATTTAGTTTTATTTAACTTTATTTCATATTTTTACTATATTTTATTTTTTCATTTCATTTTATTTTATTTTGTTTTATTTCGGCTTATTTTATTTTATTTCCTTTTTATTTTATTTAATTTCATTTTAATTACTTTTATGAGATCATACAATATATTATTTTATTTTACTTTTTTATTTTTAAAATAATTGTTTGCATATATTTAAATTCTATTTAATTTAATTAAATTTAAATTTCATTTTATTTTATTTTAGTTTCTTTTATTTTATTTTGCTTTATTTTGGTTTATTTATTATATTTCCTTTTTATTTTATTTCATTTCATTTTATTTACTTTTATGTGATCATATAATATTTTATTTTACTTTTATTAATTTTAAAATAATTGTTTTGATTTATTTAAATTCAATTTAATTTAATTAAATTCCAATTTTGTTTTATTTAATTTTATTTATCTTATTTTATTTTAGTTTGTTTATTATATTTTCTCTTTTCTTTAGATTTTATCTATTTTTTAGTTATCTTATTATTCTTTATTTTCCTTTATTTTAGTTCTATATTTTATTTATAATTTTGTTTTTTATTTTGTATTTTTTATCTTTATTTTTTTTTTTTTTGTTTTATTTTTGTTTGTTTATTATATATCTTTTATTTTATTTAATGTTATTTTATTTTATAATATAATATAACAATAATTATAATATATAATTTTTTTTACTGTACTTCGTTTTATTTAATTTTATTTTTTTTTTCTTATTTTCTACATTTTATTTTATCTTATTTTATTTTGTTTTAGTTTATTTCGTTTATAATATATTTTTTATTTTATTTCATTTATTTAATTTATTTTAATTTAGTTTATTTTATTATATTTTACTTTCTTTTACTTTATGGGGGATGAAGCAAATTAACTTTCCATTTCAATATATTTACCTACAAAACGATTTCTTTCTTTTAGTATGTCAAATGATTTATATATACCCTCATAAAAGACGTTTTCGCTTTATCTTCAAAATACGCCGAAGCTGTCTGTTTGATTTTTTGCCAAGAAGATTTGATGCTACATAATGTGAAGATACTGCATAAATTTCGCAAGTTGTTTCTTCTCTAGTCGAGCATCATGGAGGACAAAGTCTTGAACTTTCTGAATATTTTCTGGCGTGGTCATCCAATTGTTTTATAAGAATGAATCCTAGCGTACTTATATAAGTCAGTCCACACTCGTAGCCCTCCAACGTATTTTCAAAACATGAACAGTAGTCATAAAAGGTATAAAAGCTTTTACATGGCTGACGACAGCTTAGTGTTTTTATAAACTTCATACACACATGTATGTATCTAATTTATTCAAAATCACCTCTTCTTAAAGGTGGTTCACTCACTTATAAATCATTTTCATTTTACAGGACCTCATTAAAAACAGCCGCTACAGCCATAAAAAAATCGTATATACAATATAGGCTTATGCGTGTACATACATATACACACCAAGGCATATGTAAATGATGCAGCACGCACAAACATTGCTTTCGTTGAGAAAACTTAAGCGCGGCTTTTAGTAACGGATATACGAGTACACCTTAACAGATATTAGCTGGCATCAGCATGGATGAGTTCCCAGTGTTTCAAGTGCAAGTTGACGAAGTACTCGAGGAAGAGGAATTTGGTGAGTGCAAGCAGAGTTAAAAATATAGCAAATTAGAAAGTGATTTTGTTTTCCTGGTAAGAAGTATAAATGTCAGCTGTCATGTTTCTTAACGCACATACACTTACATACATACATATACTCGTACATTGCAGAGAAACTGTATGCGGCGCCCACGGAAATCATAGTATTACTCTCCATTTTCTATGGCACTATAAGCTTTTTTGCTGTTATCGGCAATTCGCTCGTAATTTGGGTGGTGGTGACAACACGTCAAATGCGCACCGTTACAAATATGTATATTGCCAACCTGGCGTTTGCTGATGTCGTCATTGGTCTGTTTTGCATACCATTTCAGGTAAATTTTCACCTTTCCTCTTTTTAATCCAAAATAAGTTTGTGCACGGTTACGTTGAAAAAATAAACTAAGCTTTTATCTGTCATTTGCGCAAAGCTCATTTGCATTTTATTTCATTTTTCGCAGAAAGTTTTTTGAATATTTATTATTGTCATGAAAATTGTGCAAAGTATTAAAAATCGTTTAAAATTATATTAAATAAAATAAAGACTTTTTAACGGCAAGTCTTTCAAATTTATTTTTTTTTTTTCAGTTTCAAGCTGCTCTCTTACAACGCTGGAATCTGCCTTGGTTTATGTGCGGTTTTTGTCCTTTTGTTCAAGCTCTAAGTGTCAATGTATCTGTTTTCACACTCACCGCAATTGCAATCGATCGACATCGCGCTATCATTAATCCACTCAGGTAAGTTAGTGCGATAGAAGTTCTCAACGCACTAATCTAGATAGATGTGTGCATAGATGTAAACTCGATCGCTGTTGAACTTGTAAGTGTAATATGGCTTAAGGTTCAACGTATGCAAAGCATTGTAGCAGGTCGGCTACGACTGCCTAACCCAGTTTAGAAGCGACAAAGCTTAAACAATCCGAGGAAGCTACATAAGGCTGAAATAAGTAGAATCGCGTACTGCCCCTCTTAAGTCCAGGGTTCAAGTCCTGGTTCATACAACATCTAAAATTATAGAAGACTGCGGTTGCATATCGACATGGATTGTCAAGCCCTTCGAGTGTATTTTGTGACATGAAATAGAAAGTTCACCTGTTCAGAGACGGTTCAGAATGAACTATAGGTCCTTACACTTGTTGGAAAACATAAAGACGCATACCACAATTCGGAGGATGAGCTCGTCGGCTAAAAATTGCTTCAAGTATATAAGACTGAAATAACTCGTTGAGCGTACGTGCGTTGAAGTTTTGACTATTTGAAGATTTATTATTACCAAAAGCGCTTGTAGGCTGGAATAAGTTTAAGCAAAACTTCCAGCAGAGTCCTATTTAAACAGAAAGTAAAGAGTTTGAAGTTAATACTATTGGCACAGTTCTTCAACAAGGCATACCTCCGACACAACCTTTTCAGGTCTCAACTTCATAAAACATCTATGGGGTATTTTAAATAAAATCCATGGCTAGAGTAGCCGAAACGTCATAGTTTTAACCTAAAGTGGAACACTTTGGCTAGTCTATTTTACAGTTACAGTGAAAAATCATATAATGAGCGTACTTTGAAGTGTGAGGAACATTTCCTAATAAATTTTTTCTCGATTATATAAATATTTAATTGCTATTCAGAGTACTAAATTACTACACCAATTTTCTGTATCCGGCTGATGAATTTTTATGTGAAGATTTCGCTTTTCTGTCAGACAAGGAGAAGTTAACATTTCCTGCTGATGGACAACAAGAGCTAAATTCGATTTGATATTTTTTAAAGCGAACCAAAAAACCAGTGCTTGGACCTATAATTCGCAGCCACTACGCTACTGCGCTCACCAAACAGAGCGTAAAACTACTGAGCAAGGTGTACTAAAAGACCACAATAAAACCACATAGGGTACTGTAAAAGAACGGTAAAACAAGTGCAAATAAAAAAAAGAACTTTCACCGCTGATAATCACATAGGCAACGGCGGAATACTCATTTGGGAAGTAGGGTTGGGTAGCTTCGAAGCAGAAAGCCAAACGAAGACCCACGTAGTCACCAATTACACACTACTCTTCCAGGATTTACAAATTTTACTTAATAAATACACTACTTGCCCACTATTACAACCTTCAATGCGGAAGCAATATTTTCACTACGGTTTAAAAGACTTACATAAAAACAGGGCAAGCAACAAATTTAATAGGACGCCAACGCGATGATCTGCGATAATCACTAAACTGCCTTGGCGTTAAACCCTTTACCCTTTTAACATTTTAAAAACCAATTAGGCTTTTATCTAAATGTTTTTGTTCCATCCTATTTATTATTATAAAAGACAAAAAGATTATGCCAATTTGTTGCCCGAGTGACGAGAATGAAAATATACAATTCATGCTGAATTCAGCAAATCATCGGAATGATTAATACATCTTATTCATAAACATGAAATTAATTTATATGCCAAATCCTTTTTCTTTCATTTCCCAGAGCGCGTCCCACAAAATTGATGTCCCAATTAATACTCATCGGTATTTGGCTTGTGGCATTCATCTTCGCCACGCCATGTGCCATCGCCTTTCGGGTTGAATTGGAGCAGGAACGCTATAGAGGTAATATAAATGCGAAATGCACAAGCAAACAACTGCATAGAAATATAGACAAACGAAAAAAAAATGTTATAAAAAAATTTTCATTATTTTTTCTATTATGAATTTCCATTTTTTAATCTCCATTTTGTATTCTCCGCCTACAATAGAAAACGATATAATATTTAATGTTACCCGACCGTTTTGCCTGAATAAAAACCTTTCTGAGGAACAACTACAAAGCTATCGTTACACATTGGTATTTATGCAGTATTTTGTACCGTTTTGCGTCATCAGTTTTGTTTACATACGAATGGCGGTGAAATTGTGGGGTACAAGAGCGCCGGGCAATGCACAGGATACGCGCGACATAACACTTTTGCGTAATAAAAAGAAAGTAATAAATATGTGCGGTGATTTGTGTGTGAATTTCATTTTTATTAGTGCATGCATACATACACATACACACGTGGGTTCACATTCGTACGTACAGTGAGTAGCAAAAATGTTGGTTTTTTTTTTTAACAACTTCAAGATTTTTCTAATAAATAGTTTTGGAATATTTATTTAATAACAGTTTTTTATAAAAATATGGTTTGTGTAGAGCTGTAAATGACACCAAAAAATACAATATCTCGAACTTTTGTATCTGAATTTTTAAATAAAAAATATCAATAGCTCAAGAGTTAAAAATAAATATTTAAAATATTTAAAATTTACTTTTTCTTTTTTTTTAAATTAAGCTTGAAATATCGATTTGTGTTATTTCGGCTTAGTAGAAAACAGAGCTTGGCCGAAAATTCGCTTCAGCGATTAGAAAGCATCAATTATATATAGAAAACATTAACAAAATTTGTTCAAAGACCTTAGGGCGATAATCATAGCCGATCGCTGCCCGAAATATGTCTGGCTCATCTGTACTTAACATCTGTGACTTAAGATCTTTACTTATTACTGTTTTTGAAAAAATTTTGGTTTTCTCAACACCAAGGCACTATTTTTTCCCAACATCTTCTGAAGCGATTGATCGAAATTCTCGAAAAGTTCAAGGCCGCAATAGTAGCTTCTAAGAAAGAAATAAAGATCACTATCGGCTTACGGGGAGGCACCAAAGAAACTAGCAACACTTCTTTAAAAACAATTAAACCAAACAAGAAAATTTTGAATTCAATTTTTTTTCTCTATGTCCATAAAAAACTGAATCATACATTCAAAAAAACTTTTACTAAATTTTTCCAGAATTCCAACAAGTTTGAAAGTCAAGTAACGAGATTTTTTATTTAATCATTCTGTTTTGAGAAATCTCATAGACCGATGTTTTTCCATGAACCTACTATTTTGGCCTAGATCATATCGAGAATTTAGATCAATCGCTTTACAGGGTCCTGAGGAAAAATTTGTTTCTTGACGTTGAAAAAATTTAAATTTTCCCGAAAACGTTGTAAATATAGATCACGACTTGTAATATCGTAATATTGTTTTTTTTTTTTTTGTGTTGCTCATATTCTGCTATGATGAGCCAAATACCTCTCTGGAGCCAATTCACTATGTTTATCATATAATGAGGCATTTTAAGAAAAATTTAAATTTGAGTAAACCCAGAAAAAAAAATAATTTTTTTGAAGTAAATGATAAAATTAGCTAAGTAATTTTGCAAACCATTTTTGGCTCTCACTGTATATGAACATCTGTGTAAGTGTGTCTGTGTGTGTGCCGAGAAAACTGCGTGGTCGCTTAAGAACCTGCATACATTTTTCTTCCTATTTATTTTACGGTTATTTCTACATTTCATTCATTTTATTTTATTCTCTTCATGCTTTCTTTCCGCTCAGTCATTTGTTTTCCCATTTAATCTAGTTAACATCTAATATTATATATATATTCATTACTTTCACATTCATTTGTTTCTTTTTTTTTTTTTTGACTACCTTTTTCTACTCTTTTTTTCTTTTGACAGGTCATTAAAATGCTAATAATTGTTGTTGTTGTATTCGGTGTATGCTGGCTACCGCTACAATTGTATAATATTCTCTATGTAACGTTCCCTGAAATTAATGAATACCATTTTATAAATATTATTTGGTTTTGCTGCGATTGGCTGGCGATGAGTAACAGTTGTTATAATCCATTCATCTATGGCATTTATAATGTGAGTATTATACACGTATATACATGCGTATGTATATAGGCATGTACGTAAGAATTAAAAGGTACAAATGGAACTCATGTGTTGTTTGAATGTGTGTATTGAAAATATTAAATGAAATTTTGTGTTTTCATATATTGCTCCATATTTATATATATTGTAATTATTCGTAAAAATGAAATAGGTGTTCTTGGGTTATTAGTCGGAAAACGTATTTATGCAACTGTGGGCGTTTTCGGAACACATGTGTTACCTTAATCTGATACGCTGAGTATTACTTTTCCAAAAATACTGTTTTTTGTGTGTGTATGTGCAGGTAAATCGCAGGCTTCAGTATTTAACACCTTTTTGGTAGGAGCTTTTTCAAAAAATTTTAATATTTGAAATAAAATAACGAAAACTTAAGAAATTGCAAAGAACTTTCGAAAAATAAAGAATTCATTTTGATCAATTGTACCTTTTGAATAGCCAAAGAGAGCATGGAGAATCGGCTCAAAATAGAATTTGGCTTATCATTTCCAGGCATGTTGGCCCCAAAAAAAAAAATTATTCAATGCTGCAAGTCTCAGATCGCTTTTTATTACCATTTTCGACAAACTTAAAACTTTTTCCCTGGAACATGTGAAGCGATTACTCTTAATTCTGAGTACAATATATTCTGAGCCACCATATTACGTTCGAGGATGAAAATTAGAGGTTAGCAAGGTCATGTTCAAAATGTTCAGGGTGCTGAAAAAAATTTTTATTTTTTTTTTAATTCCTCATTAATTTCACCACAGACTTAGTGGCATTGTAAGTTTTCAAAAACGTTACCGTAAAATTAAAAGCCGTTTTGCTTGTATAAAAATTGACTTCTTATGACGTTAAAGAGGCTTATCCCTCGGTAATTGGCGCAGACTATGGGATCGCCCGTTTTGCGGATTGAGTAGGTTCCAATCGTAGGACATGCTTTCATTGGACCATATTTTGCAAATAAGCTCATGCATGCACCTTGTCAGCTCTTCACCGCCATGTTTGCATAGTTCTGCCTGTAGGTGGGCAATCACTATTCAAAATTCGACATGGTCAGGAAGCGGAACCTCTGTTCCATCGTCATCGATTGGGATTTCGGTTCACCATCTCCGTCTGTTTCATATTCACTGCCGTTGAGCAGCCTGGAGACTTCTCGATAAATTCAGTATTCTCTGGGCATCCGTCACTTGATCACCCCTCTGGGTTCTACAAGAGTTTGCTCCGGTCTTGAAACCTTCCGTAAGTCGCCGAATATTTTCTTAAATTTTTAGAATATTACCCTTGTCGGCCAGCTTCTCGAGCTCTTTGCACTCGAATGCGTCTTGCTTCTCATCAGCTCTCGATATATATCCCACCCCGCACGTGTCGTGATCGATCACAGGGTTCTAAGGTAGGCAGTCTATTTTCTCTCCACTGCAGTTCGACATTCCTCATCGTACCAGCTTTTTTTTGGCATTGTCGAAAACCAATTAGTTCCGTAGCGGCGGTACGTAGGGAGTTTGAGATGCTGTTCCACAGGTCCCGTATAACGGGTTGCTGATGAGTGCTCTCAGAAAGCAGGTGTGCAAGTCGAGTAGAAATCCGTTCGGCAAAGGAATAGTTATCTTCGCTGATTCGCTGAGATCCTTAGCTAAATTACATTACGACAAAATTTATTAAAAATCCACTTACTCTATGAAAATTAGTTTCAGAAAAATTAACTCAGCCTGTAATGATTTTCATTCTTTGGGAAATACCTTTATAAATGAACAGTATATTTTTTCCATAAATTAATGGAATTTCAGTAGGCGATTGCGTTCAAACGTATATTTTGCAGCAACAAAGGAGTAAACCCAATTGTGTGTGTGTGTGTATATGTGTGTATGCGGATGTGTACGTATACGCCACAATTTATCAATGTATTGTATGTTACTAACAAAAGCTCTCCGCTCCTCTCTTATATTGCATTTCGTATAGGAAAAATTTAAACGAGAATTCAATAAACGTTTTGCCACATGCTTCTGCAAGTCGCACACACTACTTGACCTACAAGAGCGGACACTCTCAATGCACACACGTGTCAGTTCAATAAGGTCCACTAGTGCGCCCAACTCCTCCATACGTGTGCGCAACAATCACTTGATGTATAATGAAGACAGTGGCCTAAGTGGCCACGACGGTCCTGCCACCGAAGAGTCCACACTTATAAAAGTTCCAAGAACTCAAGCAAGTGGCTTTGAAACTATCAACAATACCGTTACATCTACAAATGGCTTCTTCGATACGCAAAACGAAAACAGTGTTGGCAGCTTATCCTGTAATGAAAAATCCAGCACTAACACTAACAACAACAATACTGCTAAGGTTTGCAAAAATAGTGAGCATAATAAGATTGAAGCGCAACAAGTTGATGTCATCGAGAATTCCAACGAAAACTCATACGAGTTTGCAAATGAAGTGGACATGCTCTTGGCACGGCATACACATGCACATAATCAGTAGCCAAACTGGTCAACTGGGATAAGAGTGCTGGATAAGCGTTTTGCTTGTGAGCGAGTGTTCCAAGCAAATATAAAAAAACCAAAGATATTCCGAACGTGAAAACAGTTTTGTTAATATTTTTTTTTAGTTTTTTTCATACTTTTGCTTTTAGTGCATTGTATTGTACATGTATATGTATTAGTTATCTAATAGTTACACTGCTAAGTGATATGTATGTCATTTTAGAATTGTAGAAAAGTAGTTTACTAAGCTGTAGCGATTAAGAGCGTGTTGATTCATATGTACTTTTATAGAATGACAAAATTGATGTCATCTCTCAATTAATCTTTTTTATTAGTTCAATAAATCTGTGATCCAAAACAAACTACATCCATTAGTGTTATCCATTAGTGACTTAGATATTTCGGAAAAGCGGACATGAAAGTAATTCGTAAGTTTGTGCAGTGAAACTTATTCAAGGTGATTTTTGAATAAAAGCAAATTTTGTTTTTGTTGATTACCAAACTCTTTAAATTGATAACATTAACTAATGTGTCACGTGGATATAAAAGAGAATATTTTTTCATAAAATTTTTTAAGATAAGTGTTTAATATATAAAACGAAAATTAAAAAGTTTTTAATGTTTTTATTGTAATGAAACTTCCTTAGCGCCATGGATAGTGATTTGTGTGCTACGTTCGTACAAGAAAGACGAAATATAATGTATATTTTGTATAAGAAAAAAAAAAAAGAAAAAATCAAGACTGTCACAGAGAGAGAGAGATATGATTTTGACTATATGAATGCGAGTGAGTAAGTGAGAGCTGCAATGGAAAAGGAACTCCTAAAGGTGAAAGAGAAAAAATATTTCACTTAGACGAGATTGAGTGTGAGAGGGCATTGATCGTTCAGGTTCGGCTTATGCTGCGATTATCTATCCTACTTACCTCACAGCAGTAACACCCAACTGGAAGAGAATATACAAACACGAGTATTTTTTATGGAACAACCGTCAGTATCGATATTGGTGAGCGGTGATAACTTTTAATATATATAGCGCTCTCATAAAAGAGATTTCCATGGCTGCTAAGTATGTAAGATAAGTAGTTGCAACATAAAGCAATTTATTATAACCATAATGACACAACAAACTTAGTCGCACCAATTATTATTTATGACTGTTAATGAGTCCACTGGTTTGACGCTCTGAGTGTAAACCGTACAGTAGAAATTTATTATTGTCGCAGCTATTTAAATTTCTCCCAATCAATCGTTGTGTATAGTGGAGGAGACAAGGAAGTTAAATTATGTACGATCCTTGCCGGATATAGCAATTGTATGACAAATGAACCAGCGAGAGAGGTTGCCACTTTGACTACAATAAATTCTACGTAGGTCCTGGATGTCCCCTTGTCTATGAAAAACTCTGATTGCAGCTGCTTTTCGCGAAAAACAGCCAACATCAGTTACTTAATTGAAGGAATCGGCAAAGTGACCAGACAGCTTTAGTTTATGCTGTACGCTGACAGCTCAAGGCACCTCTTTCGAACCCCAGCCCTCCGAACTGCGGTACGCAATGCTCATCGCGCCAGGTATGCCTTACTGCGGCAAAATTCTTGCACCCGTACCACGCAGAGGTTAGAAGATGAGAAGTGCTAAACAGCAGTATCATAACGAGACTTCAGTCCTAAGTGCTCTGATTAGCAACCGCATCAATTAAACTCAACTAAGTCCATCATGTTATTAGCAATAGCATTTTGATTCAAATAACGCCGATACAGCTGGACTTCAACTTACTGTGCTAATTATGTCAATATCGTTTCTTGAATATATTTTTCCGCGAAGGCTCTTTATACAGCCATCGCCTATCTTGTTTATTTAATGCCATTAAGGTTAGTATAGGCTTAAGGAGTGACCTATATGTTGGTCTCAGTTCGCATTAACACACACACATATGTGAGTCCATTCAAATTTGTTTTCTGATGCCACTGCTGACCTTGTTCGATTGATCAATTCCAATATTTATTTTGATGCCATAGATATTTCCATTTGTTTAGAGCAGCTCACACATGTAGGCATATCCTTGTGAATAAAAACAAATAAATATCAATTTAATGTATTTTCTTCGCATTGACTTTCGCCCTTCAAATGTCTGTTTTAGGAATTTGCATATAAATAATGGAAAGTAAGCAAATAATTATGACCCTTTTTGCACATCTGGCGTTTCATATTTCTTATACAAATATGTTATATAAATATTTCCTTTTTTTTACAATATCAATAATTCACTTTGCAAAAACCTCCAATATGCTGCCTGGTACCAAAACACTTTCAGTATATTGTGAACTATCTGAGTTTAAAAGTGAATATTAAAATGATGAAAAAATTTTACAAGTTTTGAGAACATATGTTTACAGCATATCTAATATATATATACACGTGTTAAATATCTAAAAGTTAAAGCAGAACTCATGGCAGAGTTTATAACCTTTGACCAACACAGAAAACACGGTATCGTCTTACATATAATAGAAACTTTCCGGACATTTTTGAAAACAGAGAATAGTTTTGATTCGATGTGTATGTATGTATATGTGTGTATGTATGTTATCAAATTTACCTCCTGGTGATAATTTTAACCTAAAAATATTCCGCCAACGGCCACCGAATACATATGTGCGTACATATACAAGTATACGTATTTGTGTGCGTACGCTTGTTTGTAAATCATAATTTAATTTTCTGCGTGAATTTCGCCTCTATTCAATTTGTCGACCTTAATGTGGTTATTTTTCTTTCAGCTCTTGGAAAAGATAAATTGTTTGCCTAACAATTTATTTACACATTTTCCGCTCTTTTGTGGCCATTAATCTAACTTGAGTGTGCGACATTTTTCGCAAAAAAAAAACCACATTTTAAATTTCCCAGTTTTGTTATATTTTATGCTATTTTCTTTCAATCTATTTTATTTTGTGTGATTTGATTCAGTTTAATTTTATTTTATTTATTTTTTGTTATTTTATTGTATTTTATTTTTCATGTGTTATTTTCTTTATTTTTTTGGGACTTTATTTTATTTTTTTTTATTAGACATTATTTATTTTATTTTATACCATTTTATTTTATATCATTTTAATTCATTTCATTCTATTTTATTTAATTTTATTAAGTTTATTTTTTTACATTTACTTTTATTTGATATTAGTTCATTTCATTTTACTTTGTTTTACTTTATTTTTTTCATTTTATTTTATTTTAATTTTTTAATTATATTTTATAGCATTTTATTTTGTTTCATTGTATTTTACTTTATTTTATTTCATTTTATATTTTTTTATTTTTTTTATGTTTTTATAATTTTTTTTTATTTCATATATTTCATTTCATTTAATTTGATTATATATTATTTTATTCATTGTTTTTATTTTTATTTGATTTAAATTTATTTTATATAATTTTAAGTTATTTTTTATATCATATTATTTTATTTTATTTTATTTATTTTAATTTTTTTTATTTATTTTATTTGTTTTATTTTTTTTTTTTTGCTTATATTTTTTGATGTTACTTCCGTTTATTAAATAAATTTTCTTTTTAGCAATATCATTCAATTATTTTCCATGCATAATTTTGCTACCTGATGAAATTCATTTCCGAAAAGATATTTTAATAATTAGCTTAATGCTACGAAGCTCCAATTGGATGGTAATCGTAGTCACGGCTGATGTCAGTAAAGTATCGAGCGCATTAAAATATAAAATGATTACTTTGCAATAATTGCTTAAGTTGATTTTATTATTATTGAGTGCACACTCACCGATGAAACATGCTTGTGATCCATTTCAACAACATAAAATATGTGTCCTTATGCTATATACGTGTATATTACAAAAGGTGTTCATGTCGATACACTTTGTGTATATATGTGCATTTTATAGCGAAATGAGCATGTCTCACTAATATAAGTCCGTATGTGCGTAATTGAAGGTTTTTAGTACATATTGTACATTTTGATTTACGAAATGAATGGAAATATGTGCCGTATGCAAAATTATTTATTTATTTTATTTTATTTCTTATTTCTTATTTCTCTAGTCCGTAGCATGTAAATGTAATTATATACCGGAAATTTGTTTATATGTGTGAGGTTTTTCTTAGTAAATAATATGAAAGCGACAGTCTTAAAAGCCATTAAGAGTCAACAAAATGTGGGCGAGGAATATCAACAGCTGGCACGTGTTCAAAAATGTTTAATTGCACTCCAAAGATCAATTCAATTAACTTTAATTACTTTACAACTTCCTTACAAACTTGAGAATTGTGGCATTCTTTCATGTATATATGTACGAGTGTATGCACACGTGTACATGTGTAGCTATCCTGTTGGCATAAGGTAGACTATTATGTAAAATTTCTAGTTAAATACTAGTATTCGGAGTTTGAAATTATACCAGTAGTTCACCCATAACGGGAAAAATGCTAATTTCCATCACCCAGTGTTGTTGTCAGTCACAAACTATAAAACTGACGGCCACCGCTTCATCGTCACGATAGCCGAGTGGTTTGAAGTCATCGCTGCAGCGCATTAGGTTCCAGCTCCCTTTTTTCTTTGAAGAGTTAGAAATTTTTACCAAAAAGCCATTTTCATATTGTCGTTATATTTAGAATACCGTAGCAGAGTTTAATTTCGAAAAGCTCTGTTAATGTGCGCGGAAATATTTGCTGTTCACCACTAGGATATTGGTTAGAGGTTACTATTGTATAACATGAGGTTCGTGGCTTGAATCTCGCTACAGGTAATTTCATATATATATATATTTTTTTTTCTTTTTTTTTTTTTTTTTTTTTTTTTTTTTTTTTTTTNTTCGTGGCTTGAATCTCGCTACAGGTAATTTCATATATATATATATTTTTTTTTCTTTTTTTTTTTTTTTTTTTTTTTTTTTATTTGTGAAGTAGAAGTAGAGTAGCATTTTGAATGCCTAAACGACAGTTCATGGTAATAATACTGGTTTTAAGTATCATACTTGGGAACCAGACGTAAGATAACTGGTTAGTGCAAAAATGCAAAGTAGTTGCATTCTATATAGTTAAGAACTCGAATTTTCTCTACAGGGTATACAAGTACAT